GGCTCACAGCCATGGCCTGGGCACGTTGCTCAGCATCCCTGTGGGGCTGAGCTGGCAGTGCCGGGCTGGCAGTGCTGCCCTCCTTGGTCTGGCTGTGCCAAGTGCTTTCCTGTGGTTGACCACCGAGGGCTTTTGCAGGCAGCTCTGCCTGCACCTGTGTCCTGCCTGCTGATGGGGTCAGTGGTTTGTGAGCTGGCTGGGCTGTGCTGGTCCCCACTGGAGCAGATTTAGGGGCTGCATATGTGCGACCCCTTGCTTGGTGAGCTCTGCCTGTGCTCTGTGGGTCATTCCCACCCAGGAGGGCTTGGCAAAGCCACACACTGGACCCCATGCCCCCTGATGCCACCATGTCTGAGCCCCAGCAGAACTCATTCCCTGCAAATGGGCAAGGGGGAAAAAAAAAAAATGCCGTCCTGGACATCACCCAGGGACATCACAGAGTGGGGACAAAGCCCAAGGGCAAAACCCCAAATTACTGGTGTTTGTGTCAGGGATGATGCCAAGCTGGGCTGTGCGTGGTTGAGAGGGGTGGAGCGGTCCAGGGCTCGTGGCTGCTGGACTCTGTAGCTGTGCCCTTCCCTGCCCTGAGCTTTACCCCGCTGCCAGCTGGGAAGCAGTGGTGCGAACCAAATGCAGCCAGAGGGTTCCTGCAGATGGCCTCCTGGTGCCATCTGCTGCTGTTTTCCCCCAGGCAGAGCTCCTGCAGGCAGAGCTGCACTGGCCTTACCAGTGCAGCCTGCTCTGCTGGAGCAAGCTGGAGATGCCGGCAGGGAAATGCCCTTCCCAGGCCCTGGCTGCTCCCTGTAACAGGCTTTCTGGTTGGGAATGCGATGCTGGCCGGCACCGGCTTATTGTGGCTGCTGCAGGCTCATACCTGCCTGGCCTTGCCTGGGCTGGCATCCAGAGCTCTGCCAGCTTGTCCCAGGAGTCCTTGACCATGTCCTGAAGGCTACTGGTGGGTCACGGTGACATGGCTGGAGAAAGGTGTCCTGCGGGCAGCGGAGCCTGGGTGCTGCTCCACTCCCAGGGCAGCACGCAGGCTGGGGGCTTGGGGATGGGTGCAGCCCTGGGTGGGGTGTGGAGAGGCTGTGCTGAGGTTGAACAGGGGCTTCTGTTCCCTGTGGGGTGAAACAAGGAGCCCAACCCCTAAGTGGAGGTGGTTGTGGTCCCTTTGCAGCCTTGGGGCCATTGCTGGCCCATGGGCATCCCAAGCCAGGAGGTGGGTTGGGGTTGTGCTATCGTGGGGAAGGACAATCCTGCCGCTGAGCACTGTCAGGCACTCTGCCACGCAGCACGTGGACACCTGGTATGTGCCCCCAGCGTGGGATTGCGATGGCCAATCAGCCTCCCAGAGCTGCCACCTCCCCTTCTCCTCCTGCTCCCAGTGCTGCTGCCACTCGTGCCCAGTGCCCTGCCCGCGTGTGCTGCGGGTCCCCGGGATCATGGCATGGTTTGTTTAGCTGGGAGCTGTGCAAGGATGTCCTGCGGTGGTCCTGGGCTGGTGCATGCTGGCAGCTCATGCATGGGGCAGGCCTGAAGGACTCTCTTCTGCCGAGAGCTTTGCTTTATTCCTACCTGCAGGGGGTTAAGCATCACCTGTGGCTCCAGTCTGGGCTTCATGTGACCATGAGTTTTTCCTTGGATGTGGTAATTCAGGGATAACTTCATCCTGCTGTTCCCTCATCCCTTTTGCCAGACCCTTTGCTGATGAGCAAAGCAAACCTGCTGTGTTTGTGGCAGCCTCCTGGTAGCCCCCAGGGTGAAATGGATTATCGGCCACTTGTTTCTGATGGGGACCTTTGTGCTTCTCCTGCGATGGTTTATTTGAGCCTGATGGAAAACTTCCTGAAAGGCCCAGTCTGCTGTGTCAGCTGGATTACCCTTCCCAGCACACCAACGGGCTGCATCGAGTCTTCATCACCTGCTTCGCAGTGCTTGGAGGGCCTGCTTTGTGCATGCTTCGGGCAGGTGGCTCCTTTCTGCTTAGAGCCTGCCAGAAGTGTTTGGAGATGTGTCCTGCTCCGGGAAACTTGCTTTTGGTTTGCAGAAGGGATGGCCAGGTATAAGCTGGGTTAAGTGGCACTTGGTGTAGGAATGGCTTTGGTCGCCAAGACTAATATTGCAAAGAAAGCAGATGATATCCAGGGAAGAGCTGTTTCTTCAGCTGGAAGGAGCTTCCTTTATTGTGCTTGAGGCAGAAGAAGAAAGCGAGCACCAGGGCACTGCTTTCCATGTCCCGCTTTGCAGAAGGGATGGCCAGGTATAAGCTGGGTTAAGTGGCACTTGGTGTAGGAATGGCTTTGGTCGCCAAGACTAATATTGCAAAGAAAGCAGATGATATCCAGGGAAGAGCTGTTTCTTCAGCTGGAAGGAGCTTCCTTTATTGTGCTTGAGGCAGAAGAAGAAAGCGAGCACCAGGGCACTGCTTTCCATGTCCCGCTCGGGGACCCAGCACAGTCATGCGGCAGGATGGAATGCTGCTGGGAAGGGTGTGTTTGTCTCCAGGAGCACAAACCACTTCACGTTCAAGGGTGCTGTTTGCTGATGGAGCTGCGTGCGTTCGCCCCGGGTAGGTCAGAGGAGGCTTCGCTCCCTGCGGCTTGGCCCCAGCGCTGCAGGTGATGGACACAAGGTGCGTTTTGGGGGCAGGCTGGGGCCTGCCCACAGGGTCCACCTCTCTCAACGTGTCCTCAGAGTCGCAGCAGTTCGTCCAGCTGAAGCCTCCCCCTGCACCACACCGCCTGCTCCAAGGGCACCTTCCATCCCCTGCGGGCTTTGCCGTCGCATCCCATCCCTGGGTGTGTGATGTCTCCTCCTTCCTTTCCTCCACCCTCTGTATTCAGGGGCAGAAAGCTTCTTGTCCTGTCCTCAGGGTAGTAAAATCTCTGTGCAGAGCCTGCTGGACGTAGTGCCTGCTGCTCCCCAGGAGCTCCAGCTGCTCCTGCCCTGCTTCACACCAGGCTTTGCTGCACTTTGAGCAACGTGAGGCTGTTCCTGGCTCCATGGAGCTCGAGAGACGGGCTTGTCTCCACTTGTTTATGCTTCCAGCAGCCCCTAATCCTTGTCACAGGGTTTCCACGCAGAAGAATGTGTTCTGGGACCATGCCACGTGCCTCTCTGCTCTCTTGAGTGAGTCCTCTGGCTCTGGACGGGTGGCTTTGCTGTGTGCTTCCCCGCTGTTGGGCACGGCCAGTTTTGGGTCAGTGACTCCAGGGCAGAGATCTCCTGGAGGAGATGGCTCTGCTGTCACCCTGGGCTGCTTTCCAGGGGCTCAGCAGTTTTTCTGGGTGAGACCCCAGGTCTGTGGGCTGGATTTAGGGTGTCAGCAAGGTAGCTTAGCTGCTCCGGCTCAAGGAGGATCTCATGACTTGGCCAGCATCCCCCGGGCTGTCAGAGCCCTGTTAGCTCTGTGGCAAAGAGCTTGGGCTTGAAATTACATCTGAGGTCAGCAGAAGTCGAAGCTGAGACTATGTTCGTAAGTTGTTGGCTAATGCCAAGGCGCAGAGGAGCGTGGGGCAGCTGAGCTGCAGCTGGGCATTCTACAGATTGGTGTGCCCTGGGGCTGGAGGAGCTCCTTGCTTCATGGTCTGGCTGCTGGTGCCCATGAGGTGTGGAGGCGTTGGGTTGAGGCTTGGTGCCACCACAGTGAGGACTGTGGGCTGACGTGGTCGGAGACGGAGCACCCAGCCCCACCGCAGCTGACCTTGTCCTTGCCATGGGGTGGGCTGTTTGAGAGCAGCTCTGGACCGTGGGACAGAGCACCCTCCCCGTGCTGCCTCAGGGCCTCCAGGTAACACTTGCCTGGATGTTGAAACCCTGTTGCCTTCCGTGAGCAGGTTTGGGGCATCTGACCTGCCAGTGTGGCTCATGCTGGGCAGCATTTGGTCCATAGGAGGTGGGATGGCGAGGGCAGAGGAGGGTCCAGTGCCAGGTTGGTGGCAGAGGAGCCTCAGAGCTGCTCTGGCCACCAGCGAGGGGTTGCAAAGGGTTGCTGACCTGGCCCTTATCTTCCCTGTTTCTCTTCTTAGCTCCTGCACCTCTGCAGCCGAGAAGGAGACGGGAGGTGAGTGACCCAGCCTCTCCTGCTGACAGGGGATAGCCTGAAGGTCCAGCTGAGCCAGGCATGGCGGGCCTGGCGTGGGGGAAGGACCCAGCTCCTGCAGCCTCAAAAGATGAGCTGGATAAGGAACATCTTGGTTCTTGGCCAGCCCTGCTCCTCAGCAAAGGCTCGGGCAGGGCACCTTGCAGCCCTTGGGGGCTCTGCTGAGGTCCACACCGGAGCCCCTCTCCCCTGTGCCCACGGCAGAAGCTCCTGGGGAGGCTTGCAGGAGTTCGGCAGGGCTGCGTGGCCCATCTCCCTCCTCTTCCACCCCAGGAGCAGAACAAAGGGAGAAGCAATACCGAGCCCATCGGGGATTTGGGGATCGCCGCGGTGGGGTCATCAGCGCCCGCACATATTTCTACGCTGACGAGGCCAAGTGTGACCAGCACATGGAGACTTTCCTCCGCTGCATCGATGCCTCAGGCAAGTGCTCCACGTGTCCTGAGCAGCCCCACTGTGCCTGGGGACTGCAGGGACCCTGCAGCCCACCACCATATCTCGGGTACCTCCTCTCTGCCCGAGCACCCTGCCCATCAGGCTACCTCTGTCTCTGTGGCTCTGTGCAGGTGGCAGCTCGGAGGACGGCTTCTCGGCCATCAAGCTGACAGCACTGGGCAGACCTCAGTTCCTGGTGAGTGCCAGGGCTGTGACCAGGGTGAGCTGGGTCAGAGCCAGGGACAGGTGCTTTGGGTGCCACACTTGCTGCAGTGGCATCTCTACTGATGGCAGAGAGGAGTGGGCACCAACAGGCTGTCTCCCTGTGTGCCCAAGACCATCCTGGAGACCCTGCCTCAACTTTTGGGGACACATGAAGAGCTCAGAAGTTTCAAAGTCCCAACATGAGGGCGTGGGGGGTCTGTACTGCTAGTCTTGGGCCCTGCTTGGCCAAGGTGCCCTGCTTACAGGGTCAGGGTCTGCTTCAGGCTGGGCACGGTCTTGCAAAGCTCTGGCACAATAGGGGGCTTGAGGCCAGCTGGGCTCCAGCCTGAGTGTCTCACCTCGAGCTCTGTCCCCACAGCTGCAGTTCTCAGAGGTGCTGGTGAAGTGGCGGAGGTTCTTCCACCAAATGGCCGCAGAGCAGGGCCAGGCTGGGCGGGCAGCGCTGGAGATGAAGCTGGAGGCGGAGAAGCTGCAGGTGAGGCAGGTGATGTCCGAGGGAGGAGGCCGTGCTGCCAGGGATGCGCTGCGGCAGGCGGCCGGTGGCCGTAGGGGTCTTGAAGTAGCCCTGACCAGTGACACCTCTGAGCCTGGAGCAGTAAGACCCCTGTAGCCCCTTGTCACTGATGCTCCTTTTGGTGGCAGGAGGCCCTGGCCGACCTCGGCATCGCAACCAAGGCGGAGAGCCAGCACTGGTTCACCGGCGAGAACCTGGGCATGAGCGGGTAAGCTGCCTGTGATCTGGGGGAGCCACAGGATGGGGACACTGGGGGACCTTGTCCCTGTTCCTGGGGCAGTGGGGCAGCAGCAAGGGCAGGTCTCCAAAGGGCAGCGCTGGCTCAGCACGGCAACAAAGCAGAGAGGAGGTTTGGGTGGACAGGTCAGGGTGGCATGTGCTGTGCACCCTGCTTGCTGGTGGGGGACAGGAGCTCGTAGAGACCCCCATGCCCCTGCAAGACACCAGCACAGACTTGGCTTTCTGCTTCCAGCACTGTGGACATGCTGGACTGGAACAGCCTGATCGACAGCCGCACCAAGCTCTCCAAGCTGCTGCTGGTCCCCAACATGCAGGTGGGTACCCATCTACGTTATTCGCAGAGTAGCCCCACGGGTTGGGCACTGGGAGACTAGGGGAGCAGGGTGTGGGTCTGCTGGCCCCAGGCCCTACCCTGTAGCTTGCTGGTGGCTGTGGTGCTAGCTGGCATCTGCGCTGCCAGAGCCTGGCCATGCTGTGATCCACCAAGCTGACAGGGTGGGCACCCAGTGCACGTGGTGCTGGCCGGTGGGTGCTGGGGAGCTGGGGTGGGCAGCAGCCCCCAGGGTGGGCTTCCTGCAGGGGTGTTTCTGCCTCCCATGGGCAGGGCTGGCCACAGGCAGGGTGACCCAGGCTGTTCTCCTTTCAGACTGGGCAGCTTGAGCCTCTGCTCTCGCGCTTCACCGAGGAGGAGGATCTGCAGATGAAGCGGATGCTGCAGCGGATGGATGTCCTGGCCAAGGTAAGAGGGAGCTGGCGCTGGGCACAGGCACTGCCGCAGAGGGGGAGACATGTGGCAGGTGGCCCCATGAACCCAAACTGCGTGTCGTTCACCCTCAGAGAGCCACGGAGAAGGGCGTGAGGCTGATGGTGGACGCGGAGCAGAGCTACTTCCAGCCAGCCATCAGCCGCCTCACCCTGGAGATGCAGCGTCGCTTCAACAGGGATCGGGCAATCATCTTCAACACCTACCAGTGCTACCTGAAGGTGAGGTCCAGCAGGAGGCTGGGCAAGAAGGACCTGCTGGAGCAGCTGGATGGAGACCTTGGCTCCTGAAGCCATGGTGATGCAATGGCACAACTCTGGAGCTGGCTGCTTGAAGACACAGGGCAGAGGTGGCACTGGGGCGATGACCTTGTGCCATCACTTCCATCTGGTCCCAGGAGGCTTATGACAACGTGACAGTGGACGTGGAGCTGTCGCGCCGGGAGGGCTGGCACTTCGGCGCCAAGCTTGTCCGTGGCGCCTACATGGAGCAGGAGCGGGAGAGAGCAGCCCAGATTGGCTATGAGGATCCCATCAACCCCACCTATGAGAAGACCAGCGA